GGGATCTGAGCAGTGCTGGGCAGGAGGTGCAAGCTCAGATCCCTGATCTGAAGTGTGTGTGCTGGGATTCCTGATGCCCCTGGCCAATGCCAGGACCCAAAGACTCTTCTCAGTGCCTGTGGCTCTTGGATCTGGCTTTGGAGGTGGGGCAAGGAAGAAAAAAAGTTGCTTTCCTTGTCCTTGAGACATGCACGTGTGGGAAAGAAGGACTGACTGGTTCCTGAGCCAGTGGTTCAGGTGGTGGTGTCAAACCAGCCTGTCCTCTCCTTCATTTTTGGCACTGCAGTTCATGCTGTTGAGTTGGTGGACACCGTGTTGGGGGGTGTCCTGTGAACCTGCTCTCCCAGAGCAGGGGGAGATTGTCCTGTGCTCATAGCTGGAGCCAGGAGGGGTGTTTTTATTGGTGTGGAATAATTTATATATTCCTCTGGAGTTTACCTACAGCTAAATTATGAGTTGCTGGTTTAATTTCCTTTCTTAGAGGAGAAGAGCAGACATCTCATTTTCCTTAGCCTGGCTTGAGATAAAGAGTGGGCAGCTTCATTTGCTGGCATTGTTCTGGCTGCAGTATGAGGATGAGCATTAAAAAGCTGGAATGCAGCATGTTCAGAGGCTGTTCAAGGCTCCTCCCCAGAGTGAGCCCAGTGCAGGTGAGCTGGTGTGATCCCCACAGGGTCACAAACCTGCTCCACTTCCAAGAGGGGATCCAGGAGCACTGGGGCAGGTGGCTGCTGGCTGGGGAGGGGCTGGGGGGAAGGTCCTTTGGCATCTGCAGACAGCAAAGGAGACCTGTCAAAAGTTTTGGGGAGTCCTGGTGGGTGACAAGTTCACCATGAGCCAGCCACGTGCCCTGTGGCCAAGGCCAGTGGTCTCCTGGGTGCACTGGGAGTGTGGCCAGCAGGTGAAGGGAGGTTCTGCTCACCCTCTGCTCTGCCCTAAGGAGGCCACCTCTGGAGCTGGGCTCAGTTTTGGGCTCCCCAATTCGAGAGACAAGGAACCACTGGAGGGGGTCCAGCAGAGGCTGTGGAGATGCTGAGGGGCTGGAGCATCTCTGTGCCAGGACAGGCTGAGAGCCCTGGGGCTGCTGAGCTGGAGAAGCCTCAGAGGGGATCTGAGCAGTGCTGGGCAGGAGGCTGGGGCCAGACTCGTGACACTTATTCTCTGCTACAAGACCCCACTGGTCAGTTTGGCCCCTACCTCTGGGGCTTTGTGCTGGTGGAGCTGCTCCTGGCCTGCCCTGGCACTTCATGCCAGGTGGGTGCCCTTGTGGCACTGCCCTTTCCACTTCTATGTCTTCAGATATTTCTGATTTGTTTTGTTCAGTGTGATTACCTCCATCAATACCGTGTGGTTTGTTGGGTTTTTCCTCTTTTAATGAGTAATTTTCCACTCAACTGTGTCTCTTGGAAGGTGTTTTCTTTGCAGCACAGGTGGTTTGTACCATGTTGGCATGGAGATGCCCAGCCAGGGCTGGAGTCCTGCTGTGCTGGTTGCTCCCTGGGCACTAAATGCCCAGATGGTCCCTGCCCCACAGAAGGCAGCCCTGATGCCCTTGGTGGATGACAGACATTTGAAGATACTGCTCAAATTTGGGTGTGTTTGGGGTTGAATGAGGAGCTGGGAATGGCGTGCAGTGATTCTGGAGTGGGTGTGGGAGTTTCAAATGTGGGTGACAGCAGAGTTGTCCCACGGGCACAGTTTCTAGTCCATTAGTGGGATATGTGAGGGGGGGGTGCCCACAACCTGCTGGTGGAGGAAGCTCAGCCATGAACCATCTGCACAAGGCAGCCTGACCTGCTGGGAGAGCTGGTTTTGGGGGATCCCTGAGGTGTGTGTCACTGGAGCTCTCTGGCAGGGCTGCAGTGAGGTGGTTGTGGTGGTTCTTGGGCTGATGAGGGTTTCATACAGGAGGGGCTGGTGAGTCTTTGGACACTTGTGGTGCCAGGTGGAGGGGAGGATCTGTGTTTTGGTGTGCACCCAGACACTGATTGCTGGTGGAGAAGAGGGGTGAGTGCTGCTTCCCATCTCTAATCCACCAGTGTGTAGAATCAGAATCCTTTTGGTTGGAAGAGACCTTTAAGCTCATTGAGTCCAACCCTTCCCCCAGCACTGCCAGGTCCCCACTGCCCCGTGTCCCTCACCCCACATCTCCACAGCTTGGAAACCCCTCCAGGGGTGGGGACTCCACCACTGCCCTGGGCAGCCTGGCACAGCCCTGGGCAACCCTCAAGGGCAAGAAATTGTCCCTCAGGTCCAACCTCAACCTCTCCTGGCAAGGTCAAGGGATATGTCCCACTGTCGTGCAGCGACAGAAGAGAGTGACTCCTTTCCTTTTGGTGGGAGTTGGTTTGTCCCCTTTTCTGTTTCACAGTGTTCCTTTTGTGGTTGAAGTTTAAAATAAAACACTGCAGGAGCTGTGGAGCCTGAATGCAGAGGGCAGCTGCCTCTTGTGTGCTGCTCAGCACGTGGCAACAGCACCTTAGGTGTGCTGGAATAAATGAAGGGCTTGCCAACCTTGCCTGGCTGATCCCTGAGAAGGGACTGCCCCAGCTTTTGGCTGTTTGCCACAGCAAAGCACTGAGGTAGAAGCTTTTTTGGGGGTCTCTGGAAGCTGGGGGTCTCTGGAAGCAGAGCCCTCTGCTCCTGGGGTGTCACTGCTCCCAGCGTGGATGCTCTCAGCTTGAGGTAGGACTTTTTCCTTACTCCATATTAGTGAAAGGATTTCTTTATTGGGCTGTTGGCTGTGCATAAACGGCCTTGATGACATCTTGCAAAGCAGTTTCATTCCCCAAATGATGGCATTAAAGGTCTGTCATACATGGAAGGTTTGCTTGGCCCTGACCTGCTGTTCTTCCTCTTTCCTGTGCCTTCAGAGGGAACATCTTGATAAGCAGAGGCTCTCCTACACCCACATCTCTGCACTGTGAACCCTTTCCCCTGCATTTTCTGAAGCCAAAGAGTGAAAAACAAGATGTTATAGAGGCTCTAGAAGATGAGATCCAGGCACACTGGCTGCTCTCTATTTAAAAGGCAAACCATTTGTTCAGGAACTGACTGTTGAAGGACCAAGCATTCAGCTGGACCTCTGCTGCGTGGAGATGATGTTGCTTGAGAGCTGAGGCAGCTCTCAGAGCTGCTCTGTGTCCCCTGCTCTGCTCTCCTGGGGGCACAGGACCACATTTCCCCCCCATCATCCAGCTTTAAGGGCATTCTGTGTGGAATCCCACCCTGAGAGCTGGGGCGTGCCAGGAGGTGTTCCCCCAAGCTGTGGGTGCTGTGAGAAGCCACCTCTGCTCAGAGTGCAGGGTTGCTTGAGGTGCTCAGGACCATTACTGTTGGGCAGCAGCACGTGCTGGGGTGGTCCCTTCATGTCCTCCTTGTGGAGAGTGACCCAGCTCAGCACATCAGCTGCCAGGAGCAGTGGGAGACACAGAGGGAGGACAACCTGCTTCCAGCATGAGACCTTCAGCAAGGTGGGGACAGTCTCCTGGCAGCCTGTGTGGGAAGGTGATCATCAGGAATAGGAAATCAAGGCACTTAAACCCCTCTCCTTTGGTAGCAACTTCAGTTTATAAGCATCAGAGTTGGGATAAAGCTCTAGCCCAGTTCTCTAGCTCCAAAACACCAAGGAAACAACACAGGGTGCATGGAATGGAGGTGTGCTGGAGAGCTGCAAGCTGCTCAGGTACATCTGTGGAGGCTGCAGGCACCATGGGCAGTGCTCTGTGCTGCAGGGGTGAGGGTGAGCAGGATAACCCTGCTCTGTGACAGGTACTGGTGGAGAGCAGCAGTGCTGGGGCACCTGGATTTCTGTCTCTGATAGTCCTTGGCTCCTCTGGGCTGCTGCTGTGGAGTAGCCAGACAGTCCTGGGAGCTTCTTTGAGGCTGGGGTCTCTCCTCTGCACCCTGCTCACCTGGTCTGACCTCCTGCCTTGTGTCTGCAGAGATTACACTCCTAATTGTTGTAGGTCCCCATTTATTTTCTTGCTGTAATGGTGCCCCTGATGTGCAACCTGCACAACAGGTTCCTGCACTGGGCCAAGAGCCAGCAGTGAGACCTCTTGTGTCACTAGAAGGGGTTAGAGAGGTCAGAGAGCAGAGGAGGTTCCTTACAGACACAAAGGGGACACAGCATCTCCCACCCCCTCCACCACAGGTCTCCTTGCTCTGGTCTGTGGCTGGAATTCAGCATTTCTCTGAAGCTGAGCCTCTGTTCAACAGGTGAAGCAGATCATGGAGGAGGCAGTGACGAGGAAGTTCGTGCACGAGGACAGCAGCCACATCATCTCCTTCTGTGGTGAGTGCCCAGTGATGGGGCTGGGGCACCCTCTTCCCGTTGGGCTGTGGTAGGTGTGTCTCCTGGGGGCACACTCCAGCTCTGGGGGAGTCGTGCTGGGGCTGGGGGAGGTGGTTTGTGCCAGGGGGTGAGTTATTCTGGCAGAGATCTGAGTCCCTGAGGTCTTTGTTCTGTGCTTAAAATCTATAGAGATGTGTCAAAAGAGGCAGGGGTATTGGCAGCCTGCACAGTCACTTCAGAAGGGCCAGAAATAATGTTTTATTTTTGATTTCCTGGAGAATTGATTCAGAAGGAGGAAGTCTGTCAAGTCCAAATATTTCCTTGCCATTATAGAATAGGAATTTATGGAAAGGCATCTTCAGCCTGCAGGAGTGGAGAGGCTGGAGGCTGCTGAAAGATTTTAAATGAAGCTGTGCTCTGGTACTGTGCTGGTTTTCTGGCAGCAGCACTTTTTGCTTAACCTGCTTTTTATTCACCTGTGGCACGCCAGCTTTGTAAATGTAGAAGCATTTCAGAATGGATCCAACAAAATCCCAGCAAAACCTTTTCTAAACACCTCCCTGCAGAGCTGTTGGATTGTGTCTGTGGTGCATGCCATGGGGGGCTCTGGGCAAGGCCTGTGGGGCAGGAGAGGAGTGTTTGTATCTCCATGGAGAGCAGGAGGGAGCTGCCTTGGTCCTGGGGGCACTGAGCACATCACAGGAGGAGCACTGGGCAGCCCAGCCTGGGGCTGTGCTGTGGTGTCGCTGTTGTGTCTGAAACCCCTCCAGGGGTGGGGACTCCACCCCCTCCCTGGGCAGCCTGGCACAGCCCTGGGCAACCCTCCAGGGCAAGAAATTGTTCCTCAGGGACAACCTCAACCTCCCCTGGGGCAACCTGAGGCTGTTTCCTCCTCCTATCACTTGGTCCTTGAGAGCAGAGCCCGACCCCCCCCCGGCTCCAGGCTCCTGTCAGGAGCTGTGCAGAGCCAGAAGGTCTCCCCTGAGCCTCCTTTGCTCCAGGCTCAGCACCCCCAGCTCCCTCAGCTGCTCCTCCCCACACTTGGCCTCTAGACCCTTCCCCAGCAGCTCTGTTGCCCTTCTCTGGCCACGCTCCAGCCCCTCAAGGTCCTTCTGGGAGTGACCCCAGGGTTTGAGGGACACCCTCCTCAGTGCCAAGTGCAGGGGGATGATCCCTGCCCTGGTCCTGCTGGCCACACTCTACTCTGGGCCAAGCCAGGATGTATCAGCCACCTCTTGCTGTGCCCAGTGCCCACGGTGGGCTGTGCTGCCAGGCAGCTGCTGCTGGGCAGGGGGAGCAGAACTCCCCCACATCCAAAGAGCTGAGGGGCAGAATGCTGATTTGGAGGCTGGGAAGAAAACAGCAGATGTGATGGCAAGCAGTGTCTGGAGAAGTTGCTCCAGGAAGGCTCGTGCAGCACCATCCCCACTGAGCAAGGCTGTGGCATCCACAGAGAGCAGAGGACGAGGGGGGGAGCGGTGAGGTCTCTGTTTTGGGGAGCAGAGGGGCTGCTTTCCTCCTCTCCTCCTGGGCCTTCACACAGCAGACCTGCAGAGGCTTGCCAGGGCCCTGTGCCTCTGTGTGCTGCTGACAGAACAGCATCGAAGGAGCAGGACAGACTTCAAGGTGTGACTCAGTCTCTGCTGTGCTGTGCAGCACGAGGCTTCGCAGCCTGCAATTATTTATAGCCTCCTGCCACACGGAGCTGAGGCAGCCAGGCTCCAAGGGCTCCCTGCTTCCTTCTGGCTCCTTAATGCTGCTGCTGCACTCTCACCAGCCCCTGGCATCTGCAGCTTCTTGCTGCTCCCTCGTTTGAATGGGCCGTGTGCCTTCCTGAGCACCTCGGGAGCTGGGGGAGGTTATAAATGAGCCCCTTCCCCTGGCAGGCAGAGCTGCTGAGCACCTGGCTCTGCCTGGGCTGAGCTGAGCTGCCTTCCTCAGAGAGCCCTCCTCATCCTCTGCACAGCTAGCATTCCCCAGAGCCCTGCTGATGGACCCAGTGGTGTGGCAGGGAAAGGCAGTGCCCCGATTTGCCCACGAGGGCAGGGTTTGAAGCAGACAAATGCAAGCTGGCATCTGTTCACCCTGCCCTGGGAGGCTGACGGGGAGCTGGGGCTGGAGGGAGCTGAAGGGTTTGCTGTCCACGTCAGTGCTGAGGCTGCCTTCCTGCTCAGCCCCTGCCAGAGCACTCTCCATCTCCACTTATCTTCAGTTTTGTGAGGAATGGAACCTCCCAGCTTGCCTGTGGGTAGCTGTGTGTCTGCTCTAGGGATGGGGAGAATCTCTTCACAGGGTCTGTTTGCAGTAAGTTATCAACCTGGCTTGGAACAGCATGAGGTTAAAAAAGAATCTTCACTGTCCTTGGATGTAGCACAGACCTGGTACACTTCATTTATATCCTCTGAGCCCTTGGGAGAGCACACTGAGGTTTTCCTGGGGAGGCTGCACGCTCGTGTGTGGTTTTGCTGGCAGGAGCAGTGTTTTGGGGAGGTTCAGACTATGGCGTTGAGGAGAGATGCTGACGACTGCTCCTTCTCCCTGCAGTGTGCTGGGAGGCTCTTCAGCAGCCTGGGGTTTCTCAGGCGTGCTGCTCTTTAGCTGGCAGGGAGGGGTGTGATGCACAGCCCCTGATGTGAGCAAAGCAATCTGCTGCTCTCTGGGGTGGCACGAGCCTGCTGTGGCTCCTCTGCTGGGAATTCCAGTGGGGGTCTGGCTCTGCTCCCAAGGAACAAGCAGTAGGATAAGAGGAGATGGCCTCAGGTTGCCCCAGGAGAGGTTGAGATTGGAGGTGAGGAACAATTTCTTCCCTTGAGGGTTGCCCAGGGCTGTGCCAGGCTGCCCAGGGCAGGGGTGGAGTCCCCACCCCTGGAGGGGTTTCCAAGCTGTGGAGATGTGGGGTGAGGGACACGGGGCAGTGGGGACCTGGCAGTGCTGGGGGATGGTTGGACTCTATGATCTTAAAGGTCTCTTCCAACCAAAATGATTCTATGATTCTAAATAAACCCCTGGAACAAGTAAAGAGGCCCATCTATGCATGGGCCATGCTATTTGCAGCACGTCTGGGCTTCAGCAGGTTTGTGCAGGGCTTTGTTTAGGGTTCAACAAGTTCAGTGGTTCAGAGTGGCTGGGAGTGGGCAGGCAGGACTTGGCTGGCCCACACCTCTGGCTTTGGTGCCACTGGCACAGGCCAGGTGCCCACTTGAGCAGGGCATGGGCAGGGAGGGGTGCTGGGGTGCAGAAAGCCTTCTGCCAGACCCGGATAAATAGCCTGCAGAGCTGCAGGGTGGTGTAATTTTCCAGTGCTTTGATCAGCCTGTTTAATAAGGCTGTGTCTGACACCAGACATCCATCCCCAGCCCTCCCGGGGGACTCTGGCAAACAGGCATCTTCCTGGGGAGTCCTCAGCAGCTCCTGGGGCTCCCTGCTCACCATGTGCCTGGCCACAGAGCCTGGCTGGAGGGGGCCTGAAACCTGCACTCTCCCATTTCATCACCAGCCTGGTGAGGTGCCCTTGTGCTGTTGGCTGGTCAGGTGGTGAAATGGGCAAGTTAGATGCCTAGTCCATCTCGGGGGGGATTTCAGGGACCTTTTAGCAGGCACATTAACTCTCTTTTGAAGTACTCCCACCCTGTCACACCCACAGTTTGTGCTGAGATCCATCAAGCTGTCGTTTTATTGAGATGAGCCAAACAGACTTCACCAACCTCCCTCTTCCTTGTTTTGCACAACTAAACTGCCCCCTCTGCAGCCAGCAGAGCCGATGATGACTCTGCCGGTGGAGGAGCTGCACTCTGCCTGCAGCTTCGGCTCAAAAGACATCTGGGGGTTCCCTGATCCTGCTCAGGCAGGAGTGCAGCGTGGCACTGCTCTCCTCCAGGGAAGCCCTGCTGTTGTAGGGCAGGGGGGTGGGTGCAGCAGGAGGGCAGGGGTGCCCTGACGTGCCCGCTGACGGGCCGGGCTCTCCCCAGCGGCGGTGGAGACCTGTGTCCTGCACGGCCTGAAGCGGAGGGCGGCGGGGTTCCTGCGCAGCAACAAGATAGCAGCTCTCTTCATGAAGGTGGGGAAGAGCTTTCCTCTGGCAGAGGAGCTTTGCAGGAAGGTGCAAGACCTGGAGCAGCTCATCGAGAACGCGTAAGGCGCCAGCGGCGCTGCGGGGGCGTGGGTCGGGTTGGGTTGGGCTGTGGATGGCAGTGTCCAGCCTGGGTGTTTTCAGCTGGAAAGACTCTTCCAGGGGAGCAGAGTCCTGTCCTGGGCTTTTGGTGCCTTGGCTGAATGGGTTGCTTTCCTAGGAGGCAGCGAGTTGTGGTGTGGGTTCAGCTGGGATGGATGAGTTCTGACCTCCCCTGCCCCTCGTCTCCTGCTTGGGGGGCAGCTAAGCGTGTCTGCTCCTGAGCTGTCACAGCTTACAGACCAACTGGAACCAAATTTGGTCTGCCTCAGTGTGCAGGGCTTGAACCTGCAGTAATTCTGGGCAAGTGTGGCTTACTCATCCTTGGACAGGAACCAGGCAGATGGATGGAGTAGCTACCTGAGGGCAGGAACCTTTATGCCGTCCTAGGATAAGCTGCTTTGCTTGGGAACTGCTGTCCTCAGGCACCAGTGGAGAAGGTGTGTGGGTTGGAGGACTCGGCAGAGGCTTGTTCTAGGGTGCCTTGACAGCTGGAAACCCATTGAGGATGTTCCCACCACTTTTCAAATGCAGATGTGGGCCATGTGGAGGAGAGGGTGGATAGATGAGGGGAGCAATCTCCAGAGCCCTGTCCCCAAGGACTCCCCTGGGCATCCCACAGCCACCACAGCCAGCACCACTGACACCCTGTCCTCGTGTCCCACGAGGAGTGAGTGCCAGGGGTGCCCTGGGCTCCTGCAGCCCCGTGATGAGCCAGTGATGTTGTTGTCCTTTGCCTTGTGCCTCTGAAGACGAAATCAGGCGCAGGGCATCCCGGAGAACGTGCGCAAGGTGCCCAAGCTGCCCAACCTGTCTCCTCAAGCCATCAAGCACCTCTGGATCCGCACAGCCCTCTTTGAGAAGGTCCTGGATAAAATCGTGCACTACTTGGTAGAAAACAGCAGGTGAGTGCTGGCACGGGCCAACCATTTACCTGTCCCAGCTTCCCACCAGCATCTCCCCCTTCCAGTGGTGCTGGAGGTGTTGCTGGCTGAGCTGTGTCCTTGTGGATCAGTTGTCGCTCTGTGCCCATCACAGGGACTCTGATTCCCTGCTGCTGGTGGCCACTGAATGCTCCCTAAAATAAAGCCAGGCCACGCTTGCTCTGCTGAGTTTCCAGGGGCTGTGTCATCCTTGTCTTCTGGAAACTGCATGCTGAGGTGTCCTGTTCTGGGGAGGTGTCATCCGCAGTCCTGGGGGGTTCTGTTAGGAGGTGGTGATGCTTGCAGTGTGCTGCAGGAAGGTCTCTGCTCTCCAGGAATGTCACAGCTGGCAGAGACAGCCTGGCAGGGGCTTCTTGCCCTCTCACCACCCAGGAGGGATATGGGGGGAGAGGGGCACTGCAGTGATTTCAAACCATCTCGACCATTTTGCTGGGGTTTGACCCCTTGACAGGGGTTTGAAATGCTACAGCATCCTGCTCTCTTTTATTTCTTCTAGTAAGTACTACGAGAAGGAAGCTCTCCTGATGGATCCTGTGGATGGGCCAATTCTTGCATCTTTATTGGGTAATTTCCTCTTACCCTGCTTTGTCAGCTTGCTTTCCAAACCTGTGTTCCCGGGTCTGGGATCTGGGGTGGGAAACGCGGTTGTGTTCCAGTGAGGACTTCAGAAGACTTCATATCCCTGGAGAGGGGGAGACCTTATAAAGACCAGGTGATGCACAGCACTGGGCAGTGCACGGAGAGGGAGAGCTGCAAGGCTGAGCTTGGGGGGTTGCTTTTATGGCACAGGCTGCAGCAGCAGCACCAGGCACAGCCCAGGGCTGAGCCGCCGGGCGCTGGGAGCACAGTGCCATGGCACAAGGCTCAGTTTGGCATTGCAGCCCACAGCTTCCTGACGTTTGCCATTCCCCTCTCTGCACAGTGGGGCCCTGTGCACTGGAGTACACCAAGATGAAGACTGCTGACCACTTCTGGACAGACCCCTCGGCCGATGAGCTGGTGCAGAGGCACCGGATCCACAGCTCTCACTGCCGCCAGGACTCGCCCACCAAGCGCCCGGCGCTCTGCGTGAGTGGGGGGGGGGGACAGCCCCCCCAGGGCTCCCCTGGGGGGCACAGGCAGCCAGGGCTCGGGGCTCTCTTTGAGAACAGAGAGGAGAGAAGGTAGAAGAGTGCAGTTACTTGAAGGCTTCAAGGCTGAAGCGCTGGGAAGGTGGGGTGTGGGGCCACAGGAGTGCTGGACCGCATCGTGGCGTCTCTGCCCTCTGGGAACATCATGTATGAATGAAAAGCAAAGGCAGCTGAAATCTGCTCTGTTACTGCAAACAAAGCACACTCCTGGGGCTACTCTGAGTACTCCTGGGGTTCTCTGAGTACAGGATCGATTCTGGAAGCTTGGCCAGAGCCAGGAATCCTCTTAGGGCACCACACGATGGGGAAGATTTCTAGTAGTGATTTTCCTAAAGTGTAAAAGCGAGGAGAGGATGACTTTTGAAGAGAAACTTCTTGAAAACAAGAGGTGTCTGTGCTCCCCTCATGTTTGTAGGTGGATCTCTTCCAGATTCAGAAGAGGCACTCGAGTGGCAGCATGGACGACCGGCCGTCGCTGTCTGCCAGGGACTACGTGGAGTCCCTGCACCAGAATTCCCGAGCCACGCTCCTCTATGGCAAGAACAACGTGCTGGTGCAGCCTGTGAGTACCCACGGGGGCACTGGGGCTTTGCAGTGCCTGTCCTGAGCTGTCCTTTGGCAGAGAGGAGCACAGGCTCCTTTTCAGCCTGGGCAGGGAGTGCCTGGGCTGCGCGTTGAGCTCCTGGTGATGTGGATCCTCCCAGTGGAATGGAAGAGCTCTGCTGCTGCCTGAGCAGAAGCAGGTTCCTCTCCCTTCCCACTCTTAACCAGAAGCCACAAAACGCCTCCTCCTGTCCCCTTCTGCTTCATGCTTCTCCTGTCCTCCAGCTCACTCTGTCCCTGTGCTCCTCTCCCCAAGCGAGACGACATGGAGGCGATCCCGGGGTACCTGTCCCTCCACCAGGCTGCTGAGATCATGGCACTGAAGTGGACCCCCAACCAGCTGATGAACGGCTCGGTGGGGGACCTGGACTACGAGAAGAGGTGACTGGCTCCTGGGGGCACCCTGGTGTAGGGCAGAGAAGGGGGGCAGATGTTCCCCAGGCTCAGAGTCTGGATCTGATGGCCAAGCCCACCAGTGAGTTTTCCCGCTGAGCGCAGAGCAAAACGGTCACCCCTGAATCTGTGACAGGGGAAGGGATGGGAAGGTGATGGGGAGGTGGGAGATGGGCACTGCTCAGTACCTCACACTGCCTCTGCTGGGAGGTGTTCAGCAAGGGAACTGGGGGTGCTTGTTCTGAAAGAGGCAAACAAAACCCCTCTCTGCCAGCAAAGACTCCAGGAAAGCTGAAGTGTGTAGAACACTTTGACTTAAAGATCTTCAGCAAAACTTGTTCTCAGCTGTAGATTTTTTGGATTTTGTTTATCTGTGTTCATTCCATCTCCCTTTTCTTCTTGGCCCCTGGGCTGTTCTGCTCTGCCTGGTACCTTGCCCCTAAAATACTATTTTAATCTCTACACCACTTTTCTGAGTTCTTGACTTGGGCATCAGCCTAAACTCTAAAACTTCCCAGTGTCAAGGCATGACCAAGGAAGAGAGGAGCCAGATGCCAGAGTAAGTATGAACCTCCCAGGAGTGACTCTTAGGCACCCTGTCCCATCCTTAACTGACTTTGTGAGACTTTATTTTAAGCAGTATTTTTGTAAAGTGAAAGCTAGTGCTGCTCAGAATCTGGAAATTGCTTTATTGAGAAGAAGTTGGTGGTTGTTGGCTGCTGAGACCCTTGCAGAGCAGTGCTCTTGCTGGGCTCTCTGCACAAGTGACACCCTGAGTGAGGCCACAGGGTCCTGGAGACATCCCCCTTCCCTGGCTTCCTCCTGGCCCTCTGCTCTGCCTGCTGACCAGCAGCTCTCCAGCATTTTCTAGGTTGGCTCAGTCCCCTCAAAGTGCCTGGTCTCACTCAAAGAGCACAGGTCTCAAACAGAACCAACTGTGACCAAATCTAGTTTTGGCTTTGAAAAAAAATGAGTTTATTTCTCCTATCCTTGGGGACAGGAGCTCAGTGGAGCAGCAGCCCAAGCTCAGGCTGCACTGGACCTTCCCTTGGGGCTCCAGGGCTGCTCCTACCAGGTTCCTGGGGTTCTCCTGGCACTGCAGCAGGGCAGGGAGTCCTTTCTGGGGTGCCCAGAAGAGAGTCTTCAGCTTTTCAGGGCTCCACATCCCTCCCTGCAGCTGCCAGGATCCGTGGACATGTTGTTGGTGTCTGGGAAGGGAGTGAGGGTAGAGAAGCAGCCTGGGGCAGGTGGGACTGGTCTGGCCCTGATGGAGCTGGGGTGGCAGGGCCAGTTCCTGGTTCTGGAGGGATGCTGTCACTTAGGCTGGCTTCGTGGCAGTCCCACTGCTGCTGGGCTCTCATCCTTTCTGTAGCTTCCCATGGTGCCAGGATAGCTGGAGGCAGGATCTGGAGCTGCTGTGAACAGCAGCAGAGCTGCTCCCATCTCCCCACAACTTCCTCCCTTGCTCTGTTGCAGTGTGTACTGGGACTATGCCATGACTATTCGCCTGGAGGAGATTGTCTACCTGCACTGCCACCAGCAAGGTAAGGGCAGGGTGGGGGGCTGCTGGGGGGTGTCACCCCCTGACACGTTACACCTCTGGGGTGTGCTCACGTGGGGGTGTTCTGATCCAGCTCCAGGGCAGATGTCCAGAGCTCTGGGTGGTCACTGCTGGTTAAGTGCTTCCAGGAGAAGCTTTAAAGCAGCCCCTGGCTGGGGGGCTTGGCTGGGGGGTGCTCCCTGCAGAGTGATGCTCTGTCATTCTCAGGGGTGGGAGCTCCCAGCTGAGCCTTCTCCATGGCCCCACATCTGTAGTGGGCGTAGAGAAGAATCCAAACAAGGGGAAAAGTCTTTCTCTTCCATACAAGAAGGACAATTCCTTGAGCTTTCTTGCCTGGCCTCTACATTTTTGACCAATAATGTTTCCCTCATTTGTGTCCTCTCTCTGCTTCACTGCTGCTGTAGTAGACAGTGGTGGGACCGTTGTCTTGGTGAGCCAGGATGGGATCCAGAGGCCCCCACTGAGGTTCCCCAGAGGAGGGCACTTGCTGCAGTTCCTCTCCTGCCTGGAGAACGGCCTCCTGCCCCACGGGCAGCTGGACCCACCCCTCTGGTCCCAGAGGGGAAAGGTAGGGACCCCAAAACTGGCCTTGTCCAGCTTCCTGCTGGTGTTCCAGAGGCTGGCGTGGTGGGGTGGCCTCTGAAGAGCAGGTTCTGTTCCCCCAGGGGAAGGTGTTTCCCAGGCTGAGGAAGCGAAGTCCCCAGGGCTCCTCTGAGTCTGCCTCTGACAAGGAGGAGGATGAAGCCACAGATTACGTCTTCAGAATTATCTACCCAGGGACACAGTCAGAATTCGGTGAGTGCCTTGGCACAGAGGGGTTCAGGTGGGTTTTTGGGGGGGGGTGTGAGCAGCCAGGGATGCAGCCCTGGCAGGCACGTGGCAATTCATGCCAGGAAACAGATCCAAGGAAATGGGCTGTGCTTGGAACAGCTCTGCCTTCAGCATCTGTGGGGTGGGGATTTCCTTTTTAATCTTTCACTTGCTTCTGAGCCCTTCATTTCTGCAGCTCTGCAAAGGGCCACAACTGCCTTAATGGGTGGAAAAATAATTCTTGCACGTAATTTCAGTAGCAAGGTAAAACTTGTGCCTTTATTTTTGAGGCTTGAAGGGAGCAGTAGCATCTCCTGTGACTCCTCCATAGCATCAGTTAAGATTATACTTAGTTCTCCTGCCTTTAGCTGACTAACACAATACAGTGAGTCAGATAAAAATCTGATTGAGGCTAAAATAGCAGATGGAGATGCTCCTTTCTGCAGCTTCCTTTTGATCTACCCCTTAAAATTCCATGCTGGGGGCCAAATTTTCTCTGAAATGAATTGCTGCAATCTCCTGGGCTGGCGTCATCAGGATCTGTGAGGCTCCTGCCGACCTGCCCAGAGGGGCTGGAGCTGCATCAGCTCGTTCTCCTCTGCAGAGCCTTCCTTCCTGCCCTTTCATTTGTGCCCTTGTCCTCTCTCTGTGTCTAGTTCCCATTAATGGTCATTTTCATCCATTCCTTGTGTCTGTGGTCTCTGTTGCTGCTGTGAAGGGGAACATCACGAGGACTCGGGCTCCAGGCAGGATGGTGGTGACCCCTAAATGGTTTCCAAGTCTTCCCATCACACCCTGACCTCCCCTTGCCACACTGGGGGGTGCTCAGAGTCAGTGCAGTGTGGCTGTTGTCTGTGTCAGGTCCTGCTGCTTGCCTGTGTTGTCACTTGAGAGTCCCTGCAGAGGTCCCTGGTCGCTGCTGAGCATCACTGACCCATCAGCACCACCTCAATTCCAGGGAAATGGGAACATTTCAACAGCTTTCTTGCTAGTATCAGAGTTGGTGAGCCCAAGGGCAGGGGGAGAAGCCCTCCCTCTCCTAGCTGGCAGCTGGAGTTGCTACCACAATTTCATTTGCAAGGAGAAGCAAATAGGATAATTCTTCATCCATCCTTTGATGCAGCCCACGTTCACCCTCATCAGGATGGCCTTTTGCTGGGGAGCCCCAGGACCCTGGGGCAGGCCTGGGTGGTCCTGGCTGGGCCAGCTTGTCCCTGGGCAGGATCCAAGGCCACAGCAGTAGCACCTCTGGCTTTAAGCAGGGATTGAGCAAGTGACAATGTAAGGAGCTCCATGCTCCTGCTGTCCCTCTCAACCTCTGCATCAAAGACTTTATCTCCTGCCCTGTGGTTTGGGTGCTGCCTTTCCCTGGATGGTGGATGGGAATGTCATCAGTGGTGGCGTTTCTCATGGGGGTGACAGTCTGTTGCAGCCCCTCTCTGAGTCTCTCTGGGTTGGGTGTTTGTGTTCAGCACTTTAAGATTAGCTTGCTAAAGGCACTGGAGCTAATGAGCAGGTGGTTTTATCTCACTCACCAATGCTCTTTTTTTCTTTTCCTTTTCTCCCTTTCTCCCTTTCTCCCTTT